CAATTGTAGGGTGAGCTAATGGAGCGCGTGGAGATCCCATAATCATTAGGTAGAAAATAAATTCCTTTTGTCTGCGGCTGCCGCAAGTCTCCTGGCTTGCGGGGACTGAATAACTCACCGAGCGCTCCTTTATAACACACACACACACACACACACACAGCACTGCCATGCACCCGCCCTGTGCACATGTCGAAGCCCGAACCCTCCATGTGATGCTGGTTTTGGAGATGGGTCTTTAAAGAGGTGATTAAGGTAAACTGAGGTCACCAGGGTGGGTCCCGATATCCAACAGGACCGGCGTCCTTATGAGCAGAGGAGATAAGGACACAGACAGGCACAGAGGGACGACCCCGTGAGGACACAGGGAGGGGACGGCGTCTACAGGCCCAGGAGAGAGGACCCAGGAGGAAGCAGCCCCGAGACACCCGGCTCTGGGACTCCCAGCCTGCAGGACGGGAGAGGACACACGTGTGTGGTTGAAGGCACGCAGTCCCCGGCATTCTGCCGTGGGCTGCCCGAGCAGACTCGTAAATCGGCTCGCGCGTAACTTGGACGTGCGGGACGATGCCTGTTGGATTGACTCTTGGGGCGTGGGTTATCCCCAAGCCCCGAGGTTTTCACCTGACCCTCCCAGGCTCACCGCCGACTTTCCGTGCCGGGCACACGGCGGCCGCCACTGCCCCTGCTGGATGCTGCACTCAGAGGAGAGATTTATAGGATTCTCCTGCACACGGGGAGTGCTTAGCGATCGCTGGGTATTATCAGAGCTTCTTTGCCGAGACCGGCGCGTGCTCAGCAAATATCTCTCCGGAAGCATCTTAACAGCACTGGCGGACCCTGTGCAACCACGGCCGACAGTTTGGCCTCGTGGCCGTCTGTCTTTGCACTGCGTGTGTCGCATGGCCTTTGCATCGTCACGGCTCGCTTTGCTGCAGGATGGCTTTGGGTATTGCAGTCCAGCTCTTAATAACATGCTCGAGTCAACGTCGGGGGGTCCCCGGACCCCAGAACACAGGGGAGCACGGCTCTTGCGTCCCAAGGCCGGGCCAGGCACACCCCAGCTGCAGACGGGGCTGCTCTGCGGTTCTGCTGTTCCGTGCTTGCTCCAGGACACTGTATGTGCTACGACAACTAAACGCCTGTCAAAAGCAGCAGCCAACAGGACAGATGTTGGGACACATGCTTAAAACCCTCTCTTGGAAGGGGTGTTTTGACATAGCAAACTCTCCTCAGCGTCTCTGTGCAGAGAACGAAGCCTGTGCACGGCCAAGCCACGGGGTCGTCTAGAACAGGGAGCGTGCACTTGAGCTATGTTCCTCAGACAGGCCGGGCGCGGTGGCTCACGCCTGGAATC